AAAAAAATAACTCTTGCACGCCTTGCGTGCCTATGTTTTGTTCATGTAGTAGTTTCATTCAGCGTTTGTTATATCCCTCAACTGTTTTGTTTTCCACTGGAGAAAACCTTATGACACTGTGGGTTCAGAATTGTATAACCCTCTAGTGGTCCCCTAGGGCATCGTTTGGTAGATGACAAGGTCTGCTGGAAATTCAGGGAACTCTACCAACCATGACGGCGACACCGATGACAACGATAAAAAAAATTCTCGCTACTAAACTTGAATGTGTTTAGCGTCTTGTTTCAGAAGTGACCCCCTCACTGTTGAATTGGAAAAAACAATTTGGTCATTTCACATGTTGAATGTAGAACAAACATGTTAAGCGAAGACTCTGCTCCTTCTGTTTGAGAGCGTTTTCAATGCTGTTGAAATTATGTTTACCAAAATTTGACGTTCGGTGACAGAAGTCACTGCCAGCCTCAGTCAAAACAAATCTTTACTCGTACGAAGCATGGCGCTTCTGTTCATTTGATCTATTAATTTTTCCCTTTTTAGGTCATAGGAGCCTTCATTGGTTCAGAAAGGACCTGAGACTTCACGACAATCCCAGCCTGCGTGAATGTCTCGCAGACAGCAAGGTGTTTTACGGAGTGTACTTCTTGGAGTGTTCTGCTGAAGATAAGATGACTGTCAGCCCAAACCGCTGGCATTTCCTGCTTCAGTCACTTCAAGACCTCGACAGGGGTCTTGCTCAGTGTGGTTCACGTCTTTTTGTGCTGAAGGGAAGACCTATGGACATGCTGCCTTCACTTTTTAAAGAGTGGGGCATCACTCGGCTGTCGTTCGAGGTTGATTGTGAGCCATTTAGGAAGAGCAGGGATGCGGTCATCACTGGTCTTGCTAAACAAAGTGGAGTTGAAGTGATCAGCCGTGTTTCACACACTCTTTATGATGCTGAAGTGCTGTTGATGTCAACTGAGGGAAGAGCACCACAAGTGTTTGATGAGTTTATGGAGGTTGCATTGCAGCTAGGAAGGCCACAGATGCCGGCACCAAGGGTCAATAGACAGCTGTTTGGCTCCTGTTTGACTCCTGTAGCGAGAGACCATAACCAACAATACGGAGTACCTACCGTGGAGGAGATAGGCTTCCAAAAACCAGCTGCTACCAGCTCTTGGTTTTACCCAGGTGGAGAGCAGGAGGCTTTAACGAGAATGGAAGCAGCTTTGCAAAAGGTATGACTCCTTTTGCTATGCATATCCCTGTAGTTTGTAATTTAGGTGCAGTACTCCTTGCACAGCCTTGCATGCATTTGACATTCTTTTCTTTTGAGAAGTGTGCCCAACGGAGTTCAGAACAATCTCTGTTTTGCAAAGGGAGGAAATAACGTGTAAGACAAACAACAAGGAAAAAAAATAAGTGTTACTCCCTCTTGTTTTAGTCATTATGAAAAAGCTTCTAATAAGGGATGTTGTACCTGTAGGAATTGTCTGTACGTCACGTATTATACGGTAACTGCAAAAATTCTCGCGTGCTAATTGGAGCTAATTGGAGCTAATTGGCGAATTTTCAATGTCAATAAGCGGACAGACGATAACGATGTTGTTATAGTAAAAACCAAATTGACTTCAATTTTTCATGCGTCTGTCCTGTCATTGTCGATGAATTTCGTCACAGCATTGTCAAAGTAGCTGTGGATTTACGAGGCGATAGCCGAGTCAACACATTGTTATGACGAAATTCATGATCAATAACAGGACGGACGCAAGAAAAGGGGACGTCAATTTGTCAATTTCCGATGACTGTAAGCAAGAGTTATCAGCCAGTAAACTATGCTTAAAAATGGACGTGGAACTACTAGATAAGGCTAAAGCTTTCTATCAGATTGACTCTTTGTGTCTTGTAGTGAATTATTTTATTGATCCCACAGATGAAAGAGAACGATTTTTGCGATTCGCCATTAACTGCAAATTCTCTGATGCCGTCGGCAAGTCACTTGAGTCCTTACCTGAGGTTGGGCTGCCTCTCATCGCGGCTTCTTTACCAGAGAATGACTGAGGAATATATAAAGGTACACGGGAAGTCTTTTGCATGTTACTAATCCTGTAATGTGGTCTGCTTAGAGAAAAGTGTAATTGGATGTTTGCCAATGGACATATCACGTCAACAGGTGCTGCCCTTAGATAGGCACCCTATCAAGCTGTTACCAATTCCTTGAACATTTGTAAATTTCTTTGCAGAACAAGACAGTGAATCCGCCTCCAGAGGTGTACAGTAAGCTCTTTTGGCGTGAGTTCTTTTTTCTTGTTGGAAGCCAGGTGCCAGGTGCGCATGAGATGGTCAACAATTCACTAAGTCTTCAAATTCCTTGGGAAGATTCTCCAGAGTATCTTCACAAATGGAAACAGGTCAGTCTTGAAAGGAACCTCTTACCATACCGTAACGTGCACAATTCTAGAAGAGTCCTAATGCCCTTCTTAGGCCTATGTTATGAGATCTGTTTCGATTGTATGCTCTAGAATTTTTTATTTCATAGACCGTGTGACTTGAGGTAAATAGTCATTTTGTAAACCATAGATTTTGCAACAGATGGTTTGATACAAATATCTGTAATTTGTCAATATCGAGTATTCTGCTGGCGAGATGTAAGGAAACTATATTAGAGGAAGAATTAGATAACTAAATTGTCGGTGAGAAGTCCCTAGAACAATGACGCGGTGAGAAAAGGATCTGGAAAAGACACCAGAAACTCTGGCTCAATTCTAAAACAAAAAGTTAGCCGACAATCATTTACATCGATTATTTTGAATAAATTAGAGACAGTCTGATATATTTTAGAGTAATTTTTGTCTAGCTAGATTGTGTGGCATTATTTATAACTTATCTTATCCATACTATCATTACTGTTTATTTATTTAATTGTTAGAACCTGAAGTGATAGCGGTTTTTCCGTTTAAATACTGGAAGAGAAACCCTATAAACACCACTAAGTTATCTGCTAAATTTGCCCCGTCCATGATACCATGAGTATTTCCGTCATTTGTATAGGGGACCCTTACCGTGGAAAATGCATGTTCATACAAAATCTCATACAAAAGCGCAGTCATGTGTTTGTCTGTGAAGGCGCGGTGGCCTCATGGTTAGGAGGCTTGACTCCGGATCGAGCGGTCCAAGATCGAGCCCTGGCCGGGGACATTGTGTTGTGTTCTTGGGCAAGACAAACTTTACTCTCACAGTGCCTCTCTTCACCTAGGTGTACAAATGGGTACCGGCGAATTTAATGCTGGGGTAACCCTGCGATGGACTAGCATCCCATCCAGGGGGAGTAGAAATACTTCTAGTCGCTTGATGCTACAGAGACCGGGATAAGCTCCGGCCTGATGGACCACTTAGCTCGTGTGCATAATTTACCTTTACCATGTGTTTGTCGCAGGGTATGACTGGTTTTCCTTGGATTGACGCTATTATGAGACAACTCCACTTAGAAGGATGGATTCATGACGTTGCCCGAAAGGCCGTTGGCTCATTCTTGACACGTGGTTGTCTTTGGATCAGCTGGGAAGAAGGGTTTAAGGTCAGTTTTACTGAGTGGTTGCCAAGCAAAGTAGGTTGCAATGTGTGTTGATTAGGACTTAAGTGCTCTAGATAAAATACTGGACGCTGAAATTTGAAAGGCTCTAGAGTAGCTTAAGCCAACATTGATGAACTTTCCTGAGTGGTACATTTATTTGTCAGGCAAGCCAAGAGTATTTTGGTAGGTTATCTGACTTGTCCATTATGATCTATCTACTCTTGATTTCAGTAATGAATAGCCTATTTTTTGTTCATTGTAGGTTTTTGACGAGCTTCAGTTGGATGCAGAGTGGAGTCTGAATGTAGGCAACTGGCTTTGGCTGTCAGGAAGCACTTTTGTGAAAGAGCATGTGCCTTGGTTCTGCCCAGTGGATGTTGGGAAAAAGATTGATCCCACTGGTGAATATGTGAGGTTTGTTATTTTAATTGCACTTTTGCTCAGTTTGTACTTCATTCTTCTGCCAGCTTGCAAGTGAAGAGAGCTGGGGGATGTTTGATCTGCCCTCCGAAGCCAGTGTACTATAAACAAGTTATGAGGAGTCTTCGCCTTTTCGTTGATGCTCTTTGGTTTCACCTCTCTCCTCTAGCCTAGCCACAATGTGATAATTCATCATTGATGTTTTTCTTCGGAATGCTTTTCGCCAAGGACTGTTGACCAGATTTGTTGCCCTATTGGTGCAGTTGGTCTGCTTTAAATTTTGTCGAGGAAGTAAGAACCAGTGAAGGAAATACGAAGACCTGTTAGTGATGAGAACAGCTGTCAGTGATGCCGCATGATGGTCTAAACGTTCATTTTAGACTCGAAATATTCTATTAAATATACCGTCAATAAGGAGAAAAGTTTTGGCTCGTCTGTTAACTTTGGTCATAGTTTATTTCTTTCAAGTAGTACGCTGTTGCGACATCATTAACCCTCATTTCTTTAATTTTGTTCCAGAAAATATGTCCCAGAGGTAAGAAACCTTCCCACAAACTACATTTTTGAACCGTGGATGGCACCACGTGATCTCCAAGAGTCTTGCGGCTGTGTGATTGGTCAAGATTATCCTGCCCCACTTGTTGATCACAGGCAGCAACGCGTTGTGTGTGTGCAGCGGCTCCGCGACCTCGCTTTCAAATTATCTGCTATCAAGTGATTGTTCCACGAAGCTGACATTAACATGAGACTTCTTCCCCTTGTCCCTACCTAATCCGGCCACATCTCAGTTTGTTCAGTAGTATTTGCTATATAGTTTGTCTATATGCGGAAAAAGTTAAGAGTAAGTGGTAACGATAGTTTGACGTAGCAATGACGTAATTCATCACTTGCCGCTCTACATCAACTACGATTTGATATTTACTCAAGTATATGTTGCAACGTTGACTGTGCTGGATTCATAGAATAGTATTTACAATACAATAAGATTTATTAGGTTCCCGTGAGTATCTTCATACCTAATTTACCTAAGTGTTGTCGTTACTCTGGTCGACAAAAGCTTAGTTTTCTTTTTCCTCCTACCCTTCTCTTAGGTTCAACAGGAATTTTCCGAGTTTCACGCCAAACGATATAATTAAAACTTGGCAGGAGAGGTTCTTATAAAGAGAACTTATTTATCTCGGACGACACTTTGCTGTGACTTTGTAGAAACCGTTGCTTGTGGAGGGGGAAGGGGACGAGGAGGATTGGTGAAGGGCTTAGAGATTTGTTAAGACCACTTAGGTTATATGCGGTCGTTTGTTATTCAGATAATATTATCTTCAAGAAAGTAATCAACTTAACTAAGTTAAAAGAAGTGCTGGAATATATATTAATAAAAATGTGTAAATCAAATTTAAGGCAATAAAAGTACCGAAACTTGAAATACAATGTT